CATGGTAATTGACAGGTGAGCTAAACAAAAAAAAAGATAAAGTAATTATTTAATTACAAATAGATACTTTTTTTAAAATAAGGAGCATAAACATGTGTATAATGATTCATATAATTTCTAAAATAAAGAAATTACGTCTGCCACACAACCCTTATTTGATATCAGGATTTTATTCATACACATGTAGATATAATGCCTATTTTTTCTCAGATTTCTGGAATTGCTTCATCCTATGCAAATAAAGAGCTGTGCCATGAACACGATACGCGTGCTGTCATCTTAGCTCGTCTTTATGGCTTAAATTAATTTTTATGATAATGATGAGAGTACTGCTCAATAAGCCAGCCCCCCCCGCCCCCCCCCCCCCCCCCCCCCCCCCCCAAATCTAAATAAACTGTTTCACTGAGCGCAGCTGGATACGCCCACAGAGGTCCAACCCTGAACAGTTGGGGCAAAAATGGACACAATATTCAAGCTTGATACAGGTCTGAATTTGGATTGTAATTAAATATTTGACATATCATAGGTTTCTGAATAAATGTAGTCAAAGAACTTAAAATTGATTGTATGAATTGAATTTATATTCAATTAAAGATTTCTTGCTGTTGTTCAATACACTGTGCTGATGTGCAATACTTTTCTGTTGTGAGACTATAAACAAATAAAGTTCAATTAATTCTCAATGTCATATTAGAAATTTATGAAACTCAAAAGGGAGCTTACATCAATAGATATAAACAATTCACCAAAGTTTTATGCAAATTGGTTAAAGCATTTTTGAGTTAATGTCCGACATGTTGATGAAGGACGGACGGACGGACGGACGGACAGACTGACAAAAGTATACCATAATACGTCCCATAAACGGGCGTATAAAAAACAAGTGAATCTGTGATTTACTGCTCACTTATTATACCCCCATACCCTTAAAGTATAAGGTTAACAGGAAGTTGTTGAGTGATGAATCTGAAAAAGCATGACATGGTATAGCTGACTCATATAAACTCTAAAACCTGAAATTTCAGAAATCCCTGTAATGTTCCTGAGAAAGATGTGACATAAAATATTCATGGGGCGGACGGACCGACTGACTTTAGGATGTACAGACAGAAGTAAAACAGTACATTTGTACCCCCACTTTTTTAAAGACTAAAAGTGGGGGTATAAAGATAAAAAAAAACTTGCACACAGTGGCACAATTCATGAATAAATTTTATGAATAAAATCCCATAACTGGAATAAGTAAAATCTAAAATATATAAAAAAAATCTTAAAGGAGCTTACGTTACAATTCAGCAAAGTTTCATGAAAATTTGTTAAAGCGTTTTTGAGTCATTGTCCGAAAAACGGGAAAATTTCGACCCTTTATTATGAATAATGAATTATGAATACTCTAAAACCAGATATCAAAAATACATAATAGAAATGGAAAGAAAACTTTTGTCAATAAATTTAAACAATTCACCAAAGTTTCATGAAGATTGGTGAAAGCTGTTTAGAGATATTGTCTGAATGATTCACCAGCAATGATTCTTAGGCAGAGCTCCAAATAAAAATATGTTTCTTTCAAGTATGTGTGATAGCTGATATTTAATTTATGATTATCAATTTTTGTTTAATTTTTGTTCATGGTGTCTGGTTTGTTTTAACTGTTACACTTCTTGGTCCATAACACTTGTATGTGTTGTAATTTTTTTTTGTCTCAGCGGCTTGTGGTAGACTAACATTCAGAGCAATAAGAATATGAGACCCCCCTTAATCTATTGGTTCCTGAAGAGCTGTGGCCTTCTCTATTTATAAATTGATAATGTGATTTGCGTACTTTCTTGCATTCGCACACTGGTCTGTTGTCACAGAATAAGTGACTTTATTACAAGCGGGACTTTTTTCTGCCTCTTGGACTAGTGGTCTCCCAAAGAAAATTTTATAAATGGGTCCCTTCTGTTTACCGGGGATATAGCTTTGAGTAATGGATTTAATTACAGTTCAGATATTTGATGTAATACTTTATTTTTAGAAAGAAAGTGCATGCAGTGTTCTATTTAATTTAAATACTGATAATTATTATATATATAAAAAGAATATGTCAATGTGGGAAGTCATAATGAGCAAACTACATATTAATTAGTCTAATATTATTGCTTCTTTAATTGTTTGCTGCGATTCCTTCCTAATAATGACGATTCCTTCCTAATAATGACGGTCATAGGAATATGAGGAAGGCGTCCCACTTAATCATAAACAAAGCCTTTCAAGAAATTATAATATTATTTGGACTGTGTTAAAAATTGTTCTATTCAACCAGCAAGTATATAAACTTGCAATTGGTCATATTTCTGACTTGGTAATGATTTATAAAAAAATACTGGTTCCAAGATAATTTATTCAAGGTGCAGGCATTTTCCAGAGAAAGACGCATGGTCCAGGATATGTCCAAAAAATTACCCAGATTTTAATTTTTGCTTTAATGCTATAAACTTTAAGGAGAATGGTTAAGGAGGGGGAGGAACACTGAAACACTAAAAAAAAATGTCAAAAACATAGCACGGAAAATAAAAATTAAATTTATAAGGAAAAACAAAACATGAGAAACAACATCTCAAATATTAAGGAAAAGTACTAGAAGTTGTTACTCGGCATTCTCAGCCGTCTGCAGTTATTTTTAATGGACATATTGTCATAAAGGCCTTTATTACATACATCATGTTCATGAACCATAAATATTCAATAGAATTGCAAAACTTTTTTGACAAGCACGAAAACATAAAGAGTACCACAGGAAACATGGAAAAAAAATAAGGGGAAACACAAAGCACACACATCGAACCAAACACGAGACATAGAAGGTAAAACGTTTAACACAAAAACAAGTGAAATAAAAAAGAAAACGTTGCATAAAATTGTCCCTTTACCACCATGTAAAATTCAAAATTGACAAATATCAACAGCAATACGCAGAAAATAATATAATATGGACTTCACACTGATTTAATGGTGAGGGGGGGGGGGGGGGTACACCATATGTGGTCGAGCTCCAAATTACGTGTTTAGGGTTCCTTTAAGCAAGTTTGTGAGCCCTGTGCTCCACATTAAGAGCTTGATGCTTTGAAAGTAGAGATCATGGCTCTAGTCCAGCAACGTGCGTTCCGGAGAGAAGTGAACGGTGGAGCAAATCATAGGCGGATCCAGGGGAGGGGGGGGGGGGGTGCTGACCCCCCTTTTGTGGGAAAAATTTGGTTGATTATATAGGGAATCACTGAAGCATGACTGGAGCGGGCCCCCCTTAGGTCAGTCAGCGGGCCCCCCTTATGAAAAGTTCTGGATCCGCCACTGCAAACGTACCCAACAAGGAATGGCAGGATACCTGCGAAACGAAAGTTAGAAACGAATTTAAGGGTAAATGTTGAGAATGGGCTCTTGGTATAATGCAGGGAACTTGTTTCATTCGATATTCTGTTCATTTATTGACGGGATTCGATAAATTATTCAAATTTCAGATATTTGTTGCAGTCTAGTTTCTTGATCTTGATCTTGATAGGAATACGGTGATACATCCAAGGATATTAATACACCGCGCGTGCGTCAAGTAATTTACTTAAGTGGGGCCTCCCTTACAATTTCACTAAAGGTTTTAGCTGGTTCTTCTGCTGTCTGAATTTTGATGAAGATATCCGGAGGTAGTTGGTTCCAGTCTTTAATGGTATTTGGAATGAAACTGTATTTTAATGTGTCTGTTTTTGTTTGAAGTCTAAGGAAATGTTGGCTGTGCATGTTCTTGGTTGTCCTTGATGGTTTTTTCAGTTGGTCAGAAGGTAAGTTTGCTTGACCGTGTATACTTTTGCAGAAAAAGATCAGTCTGTTTTGAGTACGGAGGTCTTTTAGTGATGGTAATTGCAGTTGGTCTAAAATTGCTGTCATACTTCCTGGTTCGTAGTTGTAGTTTGATGTTATAAACCTAGCCCTCTTTTCTGTACATTTTCCAGTTGGTCTTGGAGATATAGTTGATGTGGGTCCCAGGCAGTGCTTGCATATTCTAGGACAGGTCGTGTCAGTCCTTTATATGCCTGGAGTTTAACTTCAAGCGGACATGTTGATAGGTTTCTTTTTAGTAAGCCTAATGTCCTATAAGATTTATTGCATATCTCCTCTATGTGCTTTCCCCAGTGTAGATCATTTGTGATGTTTACTCCTAGATATTTAATAGATGTTAAAAATTGGAGTTCCGTATTTTTGAGAGTGTATTTAAATGATGTAATTTTCTTTTTGCGACTCAATGTCATCATGTTGCATTTAATTGGTTGAAATCTCATACCCCAAATAGTCGCCCAGTTACCAAGGGTATCTATATCTTTCTGTAGTTCTGCACAGTCATCTTCATTTTTAATTTCTCTGTAGCATACACAGTCGTCTGCGAACAGCCTTATTTCTGATGTTACATTTTCTGCTATGTCATTGATACGGACCAGAAATAGGATGGGACCAAGAACCGTTCCTTGAGGTACACCTGATAGGACTGTCGATGTTTTGGACTTAGTCCCATTCACTATCACACACTGAGATCTTGTAGATAGAAATGCGTTAATCCAATTAAAGATGTTTTTCGGCACGCCATATTTGTGAAGTTTACTTTTTAATAGTTCGTGCGGTACGGTGTCAAATGCTTTTTCAAAATCCAAAATAAATATATCCGTTTGTTTCTTGTTGTCAATGGCAGTTGCCCAGTCATGTATTACGTTGATAAGTTGGGTTTCACAGCTGTGTCTTCTTCTAAATGCATGTTGTCGGCTATTTAGGATGTTGTGATCTTCAAAGTGCTGCATTAGGTTCGAGCAAATGACATGTTCTAGTAGTTTGCAAGTGAAACATGTTAGGGATACTGGTCTGTAATTACTTGGGATGGTTGTGTCGTTCTTCTTGAATAATGGGCATATGTTAGCACTTTTCCATTCATCTGGGATGGTTCCTCTGTTGATGGATTGTTGGAAAAAGTAAGCCATTACCTCTGATATGTTAGGTGCCAATTCTTTAAGTACTCTGGGATGTATACCATCAGGGTCCATCGCTTTTGATACATTTTTTAGTATCTTCTCCACTCTTTTGGTTGTTACTATGATGTTTCTCATTTTGTCTACATGAGGAGTTTGGTATGGAATAGATTCATATACTGTCTCGGTATAAACGCTTGTTAACTGCGTATTCAATGCCTCTGCTTTCTTTTGGTCTGAATCGGCGGTCTTATTATCATCAGTCTTAAGTGGTGGTATTCCCTGTTTGTCTGCCTTCTGGTTGTTAATATATTTCCAAAATGGTTTAGAATCTTGTATTATATCGCCTATTAAGTTGTTGACGCAGTTGTTGTGGGCTGTTTCAATTTCCTTGTTAATTGTGCGTCTTAATTTTCGTTTTATTCTCATGCCGTTGTTTCTTTTATAGTTAGCGTGTGTTCTGTCTTTTCGTTTGATCATGGCCTTGATATTATTATTTATCCATGGTATTGACTGTTTTCCTTTTGATGTTTTAGTTGGTACATTTATTTTTGTGGTTCCTAGTATAAATTCTTTTATCATGTTCCAGTTTTCTTCTACATTCCTGTTGTTGTGATGGCCATTGAAGTATCTGTCTCTGGTGAAGTCCATTGAGTCATCTCTCATTTGATTGTAGTTTCCCTTTGAATATTGGAAGAAGGTCCTTTCTGGTCTCGTTCTTCTTTGAATTGTGCATCGCAGAGTACCCATGACAATGTCGTGGTCGCTTAACCGATCAGGTGAGTGGATATCTGTGAACTGCCCTGGTAATGTTGTAATTATAAGGTCTAGTGTATTACTTTCCCTGGTTGGAAACAGGATGAGTTGTTCAGCACTAGCCTCATTTAGTATATCTATTAACGCTTGGCCTTCACTACCGTTTAGACATGTGTTGGTATCTTTATTTAGCTTTGTCTGCCAGTTTATTTTACGGTAATTAAAATCACCCAAGACGTGAATGCATGGTTGTTTCTTTGCTTTTCCTAATTTCTTGATTTTATCCAATTGGTCCTTTAGTAGTTGTATTTGGTCCAAAGGGGCATCAGGTGGTCTATACCAGCTTCCTATGTAATGATGTTTTCCTTGCAAGACTATTTTGCTCCAAATAGATTCTGATCCGTTTTCGAGGATCTTCACAGGCGCTGAGTCTAGGTGTGTTTTGATGAGTAACATTGTGCCTCACCCACTGCCTGTTCTGTCGTTGCGGTATATATCATAGCCCAATGTGTCTGGAATCAATTCATTGGTTGCAATGCTGTTGTTGATTTAGGTCTCTTGCTGCGCTAATATATCGGGGTTTTCAGTTTGTAAATATGCCTGCAGTTTAAGTTTTTTCCCTCTTAAACCGTTGATGTTGATGGAAACCATTCTGATCTTACTGGTATAAAAGTGTCTGTTTTTATCTGAAGTACATTTTGAATTACTAAGTGTCTCTTTGTTGTTTGTGAGAGTATCAACGATATTGTTGGTTTCTATGCCTGATGAAGTACTTGAGTAGGATGTTGATAAGTTTTTTTCATCACATAATGGGCAAATCCATGTACAATTTGTTGCTTGTATGTTTTTTTATTCATCATTTGACACTATTGCACAGGAGTTATGAATCCATGTTTTACATCTGTCACATTCAATTGCTGGGTCACAGTTATGTATGTTGCCTGAGCAAATTCCGCATGATGCAACGCAGTTTTGGCAGAACCATTGATCAGTTGTGTTCTGTAATTTAGCGTACGTTGTATTGTCAACAGATGTACATCGTGTATGGATCCATTAATCACATTCATCGCATTGTATTGCTTTGTCAGTTCTTTTGACTAATTTACAACATATCCCGCAGCTGTTTTGAACAGGACCTGGGTTTTGTTCAATTCCTGATATTATCAGTAGAATACGAATTTGAAGGTGAAATGGTGGTTTTTGTATGAACGCGATGTTCCAGTGTTTTTTACTACCATGGTGTGTGGTGTTAAGGTAAAGATGTACATACCTTTGTATCTGCAGAACAGTGGCAAACACAGACCTTTTTGTAGGGTGATCTTGGATAGACGATGTTCCTGTGTCTTCATCCATCCATTTTCCACAGAGTAACAAAACCTTAGCTATACCCATTATGTATTTGGGATTCATGTTGTATTTCAAGATATGTCTTCTTGTCTACCGACTCTGATAAGATAAACTCACCTAAACAGTCGGAAAACAGTTCTATTTTTATCTTGACTGCACAACAATAAATCCGAACGAAGGTAAAATTATGGTTGGCACAGTGTAAAACTTCCAGTAAAAATATATATCCAGTGAATAAAATATGTTCCACAATGTAATATGTAAAAGTTCGTAAAATTTGGTAGTCCAGGTAAACAATGGCTAAAAATGACGGTTTCCCGGTAAAATGTCAAAGAAAAGAAAATTCCAGTCAACGGCTAAAATACGTCAGATCCAGCTAAATTATGACGAAAACTATGGGGGTTAATCAAGATAAGAATAAGATGTAAAAATTATTTCAAAATGAATATAAAAACAGTCAAAAATTGACTAAAAAACTAAACATTTTGCCCAGTAAAATTTTCGTGTCTATTACGCTTGACGCATGCGCTAAGATATCCATAACTAAACAGCATTGAATTCCCAAGCATAATGCAAAATATCAATAAAGTGTATTCGAGTGTATCGCTTTTTTTGTCATCACCAATCTTGCATGCTAATAGTTTCGTTTTGATCACGTGTATATCATGCTTGCCAACACTGAACTCGTTTTTATCTAATAGTATACAGTTTTTCGCTTTCTGAAGCGAATGATTAACAACACAAGCAACGTATGTTTCATAAATAATACATATTTGGTGGTTTTCACTTACTTTTCTGGTTAGATTTTCACGTAGAAGTGAAAATAATTTTCGCTGCAAGGTTCTTTCCTTTCTGCAAACTACAAACATCTATTTGACGGCGATCGTTCACTGATTGGTTAATCTGCAAAAGGAGGCGGGGTCCAAAAGCCGACAATCTCGTCAAGACAAACAGCAATTGCAACTGTTTGCCATAATAATTAAAGCACAAACATACAATATTCGTGTTTCGATACACAAATTACATCATATGAATACCCGTTTTTAGTTGACAGGCATGTATGTAATTTGATTTCATACAGTTTCATCGATAGACGCTGCTTACGGATTTTTCGCCATTAATGAATAAATGAATACATAATGAGGTCCTTACGGGGTTATCTGCCCCTGACAAAATCTTATCGAAATTGCCTTAACATCGCTGCGTGATGAGTAATGGAATCCCTTTTAAATTGACAAAGATAGCCAGTTTTTCAGGCGAAAGTTGGTTGTTCTGGCTGTATTCTTCAGCTTCCTCCACCAACATAAAAACTTGCCCCCATGGTATAACCAATATCACTGAACGTGGCATTAAACTCTATAAATCGCATGTTTGTTAAACTGTTAAATAAATGAGGATTATGTTAAAAACTTGTGTACATAAAACATTTCCATGGTGATGTGTATTCTATTCGAATCTCATTTAAATTGACAGATTTCCAGTTTTCGAGGAAGTCGGTTGTTTTGTCTGTTTACTCCAAATTCTTGCACTAACAAAAACTGGTCGCCTTGGTATAACCATTATATTTATATGTGGCGTTTAACTCAACAAACAAATACACGAACATTATCATGGTGAGTTGTATCACACTCATAGTATAACAAATGATCTCATTGCAGGCAGATTTCAAGAAAGAGGTCTCACTCAAGGCAATTGAAATAAGATAAGATATAGTTAAAGCTGTCAAAATAATATTGCAAAAACAAACAATAAGCTAACATCTACGATATTTTTAACGTAGTGGAAATGTCTCTCATTGGCAATCATATCACATCTTATATTCATAAAGAGAAGACTATGTATTCACTTTAACATCATTTTTCTGTTTTAACTTAAATTTTGTTTCAAACCTTATGTATAGTAAGAAAAAAAGGAAAGCGATACTTTCTAAATTTCAATGCGTCCGATGCGAATTTCTTGATTTTCCTTCATCAAGAACGCTCAAAGCCGAATAATTGAAAGCCAATTATTAAACTTGTATTTCCTTGTAATAATTGGACTATTGTCAGTGTTCTCCTATTCTATTTTCAACAGCTGTAATACGTTTGTGTAAAACAAAGTCGCAGTCAAAAAATGAATAGAAATATTAACATGTTTTAAGCTAATACAAACATACATTGAAATATTCGAACCTTAATGATATACTGTAGTTATTCACTTTTTAAAGTAAGAGTACTTCACATATATAATTAATTTAATACTATTAAATATAAAAAAAACTTAGATAGGAAGGTTACATTTTTACTTTTATTCGTTTTTACAGAATCCGGAAACCAAACGTGTCTGCTGTAGGTATACAGCCTTTTCTTATTGTAAAACAATCTGACGATAGAAACCGTTAATGACTGCAGATGTGTACAATATTGATTAACTAAATCACGTAAAAATAGGAACAATATATCCACCAACCTATACCATAACCAGACATTAACAAACATAGACCTATGCCTAAATAAATTGTTCCATGGAGTATTGTAAATAGGCAGTATTTTGCAAATACTCATACAGATAACTGAGATTTTCGGTGTCCATGACATCATGTTTTTATGATTATTATATACAAAGAATGTACTAACGCATATATCGAACTCCACGATGAAATCAAAAAGGTGAAGTCTGTAAAAACTGACAACACCAAACGCTCGACTTTATTAACCACTGGAACGAATTGAAAACAGCTGTCAAATTCCTGACTTAGTATGGACATTTTCCAAGGAAAAATGATGGCGTTAATTAAGGAATATTAAGACTGTAGTTGAAGAGTTGCCACCGTCAATTAACGATTTGACGGTAGCAGCTCTTCAAATACTGTACTGTTATTCCGATTCTAGTGCATTGCAAAAAGAAATCATACGTTAGAGCTTGAAAAAATGTAGAAATTTTAGATAAACTTAAATTCCGAGAAACTTCATGAATTATTTTTAGATTGGTGT